CGTTCATTGGTGGCTGCGGCTGATTCGGCGCCGGTCACGTTTTCGGGCTATGGTCGCGACATGGCCGTGGACCTTTCGTTCATTGGTGGCTGCGGCTGATTCGGCGCCGGTCACGTTTTCGGGCTATGGTCGCGACATGGCCGTGGACCTTTCGTTCATTGGTGGCTGCGGCTGATTCGGCGCCGGTCACGTTTTCGGGGCGGCGGTCGTCATTAACACTGTGTTGGGCTGAGGGGGCCATTTTTCGCGTTTGGAGCGGCCTGGTGACGCCATTTTGTCGCGGATGGCCCCAAACTTGGGGGCCATGGTCGCAGCATGGCAGCGGACGCTTTCTTCATCGGCGGTCAGGCCTGGATCGGCGTCGGTCGCGTTTTCGAGGCGGCTGGCGTGGGGAGTTTGGCTGGGTGAGAAGTGTACATTAAACTTAATGGGGTGAGTTACTATGCCAACAACCTACTAGAGCGATTAACTAATATCTACTAGGCTTTACTACTATTTCTTTTCCTCTTTTACCTACTAGAGCAATTAACTAGTATCTACTTGGAGGCAGTCATGGCATCTTGGTTGGCCGACCTCTTTCGGGCTTTTTTGGCGCCCTTGGAGAGTGATGGGGGTTGGAGTACCAGGGTAAGGATGTAGATCACTTGGTTGAAGCCAGTGGTTTCTTCAATGGAGTAGATCCCGCTGGCGTCCGTGAGGGTGGGGCCATTCGTTGAGGGGGAGGCAACATGGCGTGGGAGAGTGTTTCATCCGCCAGGATCACGAGTGCGTGGGTCTGGAGGGAAGGGAGAACACGTCGGAGGTTGTCTTGGACCGTGCCCGAAGCGTGACCGACATGGTTGATCTTCAAGGCTGCGCGGTCGAGTTTGAGGCCAAAACCAGCAAGGTGGTAAAGGAAGGTGCGAATCGCATTGAGCGGAACGCCCCATGTTCCTTCAATTATCTGAGATTTCTTGAAGTCGACGAAATCTCCATCGCTAAAGTTGAGCGTAGCCGCGAGCTTCACGGCGGCGATGCGCATGGCTTCAGGAAGGCATTGTTTCGTTGGGCTGGCTGATGCAGGAAGGCGTCTGTGGGTTTGGCTCTTGAGCCACGCGGAGTACGTGGTCGGGAAAGGGGGAGGGGAGGTGTTGCAGTATGCGTCATATGCCTCGAATATGGAAACGGTTTCCGCACGGTTGGGCAGCTCGGATTCGAGGAACAGGTGTGTGGCTATGGCTCCTTGGTCGGTGCGTACTTTGGCGACGTATGTGAATTCTGGGTCGTTGTGGGCCCGGCGGCGCTTGATGAACGAGACGATAGTGTAGCCGGTGGGCTTGGAACGTTGGTCAGTCGGGGTAGATGAATCGGGGGTCGCGGGAGCATTGGCGGCGACTACGGCTGCGGAGGCCATGTCGGCGCTGATTTTGGCGCGTGAAGCTACATCGTGGACTTGAATGGAAGCCAGAGTTGCGGCTATGTCCGCCCTTTGTGCAGCTCGGGCAATTTGGGCCAGGCGAGCACGTCGCAACTTTGCAGCAGGAGTGGCTCCAGGGGATGCAGCGGCTACAGCGTCGTTGGCGGCTAGCCAGTAGGGCAGTTCGTTCGGCAACTGCAGCGTTCGCTACCGCTACCGCGGCCTTCTTGAGTGCTTGGGAAGCGACGACTTGATTTTTGGCTGGGGTGGCACATCTCTTAAATGATAACACAGGTGTAGCAATTGACGAAGGCAATTGACCAACGAATATGCGCATCTCTCAACTGAACGGACTATGTCTAGTAACGAATGGGCGCTTGATGGCGGCTGCGATTACCACTTGACTGGTCAACTGAACTCATTCTCGCGGATGGTTCTGGACTCTAGTCTTGTTTTTAGATTCGCTGAAGGGTCTAAACTGAAAAATTCTCATGTGGATTCAATTGAGTTGTGGCTTGAATTTCCAGGAATTATCAGTTTGAGAACGTTGCGTATGTGCGATGAGCACGTTCGAATATATTATCCGAACACGCGTTAAAACGTAGTGGTTATATGATAATTGAGAGTCTGTGTGGTCAATGTAAATACGTGTTTCTGAACAATGTCCTACAGTTTGTAGGAGCTGTACTGAAATTAACGGAGCGTATTATATTAAGACCTACCACTCCGTGTCTTTTTATAGTGTACATTTGTCACATATGGGTGAGTTTTAATACAATGTATATTTGGTTTGGCCAATGAGAGCCACGTAACAAATATATTCTGTCAATCAAAGCATAACCAAGTGTTTCATCCTAATGCATCGATGTAATTGGTGGATATCTACCAATCAAACGCTGAATATGGCACGCTACATCCATTTAATTGGCGGAAACTTCTGCTGAACAGATCAAGGTGGGTGCGACTACTTTCAGTGGTTGTTTTTCTGTCATTTATGAACGAATCGCTTCATTAAAATAATAGCAGGATCAGAGCGAACGCAAGCTTTCGGTAGCCAATCGAATTTCGCGATTTGGCACAGAGGTCACCGTGATATGTCAAATTTCGTCAAATGTACATTATTAAAAGACACGGAGTAGTACACGTTAAAGGAGCGTCAGGTACACTGTAATGCAATTAAAAGTGCACCTTATCAACGCAATGTGAGTAAAGTCGAGGCATGTGATTTGCTTCATGAGTGGCACATCCGATTAGGACATCCTCCCAAATTTGTCGAAAAATTTGCGATGTCTTCAACCCATCGTCTTGGACGGACATCTTCTCGGCAACGACCCGGACGCTCATGGCCATCATGGTCGAGCCTGTGGGTGAAGAGGTTGAATCCATTGGGACGCTTTCGCCACTCGAAGTGCTCATGGCGCAACGGGATGATCACGAAAAAATCATCAACACGATGCCGACACCAAGTCGGAGCATCGAAGAGCTATTCACTGCTCTGTGCTCTCGTGGGTATCGACTTCGTTGTGATGGCAAGCACGCACGTTGAAGTGTAGCAGTGTGGCAGGGTTGCATGTTTATGGGCTAGGATGATCGGCGGTTTGAGCTTCCTCACTCTAACATTTACTCCGAACTGAGCTCATCTATTGTGTGGATAGCTGTAGTGCAAGGGTAGACTAACGAGTATCAAAGGTTGATACTTTAAAGCAAGAGTACTAAATAAATTAGTAATAACAGTAGCTCCCCAAAACCTCATAGTCAATATCCAACATTTCAAGTTAGCTTGGGATGGCTGCGGATATGAAAGAGTACGGCATCTCGCTTTTAGTCTTTAATGGAACGAAAAACCAGTTTCGCGTGTGGTCGGCGAAGTTCGTCGCACATCTGAAGGAGTTAACTGTTCAAATTCACGGTACATGGCTCTCATCTAAGGATGAAAAACAACCGGAACCTACAGTTAAATTCGAAAACTGGCTGAAAGGTGACATTCAAAGTAGTGACATTTCGCTGGAAACAAATGAAAAAAACCAAAAGTGGCACGCGCATTATCGCGTACTACAAGAAAAGAAAATCACAACTTTGTCGAGTTCTTCCGGATAGTTTTGTCCAACATATGAAGGACTCCTATTCGGACAATGAGCCGATCTTTATGATTTGGGCTGAAGTGGAAAAGTAATACGGTGTCTCAAACGTTTCTAACGTCAAGGGTCAACTGCGCAAGATGTGGCGCGTAGCGGAAGGAGACTTTTCGTCAGTCGAGTCACTCTTTAGTGAGCTCGATTAAGAACGCTGTAAATTTCCACACACAAAAGTACCTTCACCGTGATGTTG